GAAGACGACCAATACGCGACGAGTGGAGGTGCTGCCAGCAGCGGATTGGCAGCAGCACCTTCGGGAGGAGACCACGTGCCGGCGCTGCCAGCGCCACCGCCGGCGCCTCCAGCGCCCGCGGCACCCGCCCCACACGAACGCGACTCAGGCGCTGCTGCGCAACCAGCTGAAGCACCAGCACCGCTGCCAGCTCAGCAACTCGAAGCTGAGCCCGCCCAATCCAATCCTGATCAGCCCCGGCAACAAGCTGGAGGCGAGCCTGCCGAGCCTGATCAGCCCCAGCAGCCAGCTGGAGACGAGCCTGCCGAGCCCAAGGCAGACGCCAAGTCGGGAGACTCCTTCGCCTCCAAGATGTTCCGGGAGCGGGCGAGGATCGCGGAGTAGATCGACGCTACAAAATACCGCCGAGACGCTGCTGCAAGACGACCGCAAGAACCAGATGAGCAGCGATGGGGCCGATGCCCAAAGGCAGAAGCGCTCCGAAGCGGCACCAGACGCCATGCAGCGAGATCGCCCCGATGACAGGCGCGTCCAGTCGGCTAAGCGGCAGGCCCTACTCGACGACCTGCCATTCGGATTCCAACGCCCGAAAGACACCAACTGCGTAGCAAGGAGCTTCGCTACAACAACCTGAGCCATACGGAGAAGAAGCTCACGGACACGACCATGCAGTTGGACCGAGTTCGGCGCCTACAAGGAGCCGGCCGCCAAGGAGCTGCGCGCGCTCCTGCAGCGCCACGCAGGCGTCCGCCCCGCGGGCACGCGCTGGGTGCTCACGAGCGAGGGCCAGAACCTCATGAAGGCAAGGCTCGCCAAGAGAATAAGTCGAAGATCCAAACCGATGCGCCGACAGGTTCCCGCGACGCCCTGTACATCGCACTGGCAGCTGCTGCCCAGGCTGGATGGAGCCTGACCTCCTACGACGCAATGACGGCCTAGTAGACCTCCAGTCGGGCCACATCGAGCAGGCACTGCTGCTGCGGATGCCGGTCAAAGAACGCCCGCCGCCAGGAATGCAGCCTGGCGATATCGCGATGGCCACAAGTGCCATATGTGGCACACGAGACGCAGGACGTTCGCGGTACCTCTACGTCCAGAAGGTGTTCCGCGAGCACGGCCGAATTGGGAGCAAGCTCGAGCAGAGCCTCTACGACTACTACTACTACTACTACTACCACCACCACCACCACCACCACCACCACCACCACCACCACTACTACTACCACTACTACTACTACTACTACTACTACTACTACTACTACTACTACTACTACTACGACTACTACTACTACTACTACTACTACTACTGCTGCTACTACTACTACTACTA